GACTAATGAAGAAGAAAAGAGAGAAGAATCAAATAGACACAATAAAAAATGATAAGGGGATATCACCACCAACCCCACAGAAATACAAACTACCATCAGAGAATACTATAAACACCTCTACGCAAATAAACTAGAAAACCTAGAAGAAATGGATAATTTCCGGGACACCTACACTCTCCCAAGACTAAACCAGGAAGAAGTTGAATCCCTGAATAGACCAATAGCAGGCTCTGAAACTGAGGCAATAATCAATAGCCTACCAACCAAAAAAAGTCCAGGACCAGATGGATTCACAGCCACATTCTACCGAGGTACAAGGAAGAGCTGGTACCATTCCTTCTGAAACTATTCCAATCAATAGAAAAAGAGGGAATCCTCCCTAACTCATTTTATGAGGCCAACATCATCCTGATACCAAAGCCTGGCAGAGACACAATAAAAAAAAAGAATTTTAGACCAATATCCCTGATGAACAGCGACACAAAAATACTCAATAAAATACTGGCAAACCGAATCTAGCAGCACATCAAAAAGCTTATCCACCATGATCCAGTGGGCTTCATCCCTGGGATGCAAGGCTGGTTCAACATACGCAAATCAATAAACGTAATCCAGCACATAAACAGAACCAAAGACAAAAAACCACATGATTATCTCAATAGATGCAGAAAAGGCCTCTGACAAAATTCAACAGCCCTTCATGCTAAAAATTCTCAACAAATTCGGTATTGATGGAACGTATCTCAAAATAATAAGAGCTATTTATGACAAACACACAGCCAATATCATACTGAATGGGCAAAAACTGGACAAATTCCCTTTGAAAACTGGCACAAGACAGGGATGCCCTCTCTCACCACTCTTACTCAATATAGTGTTGGAAGTTCTGGCTAGGGCAACCAGGCAAGAGAAAGAAATAAAGGGTATTCAGTTAGGAAAAGAAGAAGTCAAATTGTCCCTATTTGCAGATGACATGATTGTATATTTAGCAAACCCCATCGTCTCAGCCCAAAATCTCCTTAAGCTGATAAGCAACTTCAGCAAAGTCTCAGGATACAAAATCAATGTGCAAAAATCACAAGCATTCTTATACACCAGTAACAGACAAACAGAGAGCCAAATCGTGAATGAACTCCCATTCACAATAGCTTCAAAGAGAATAAAATACCTAGGAATCCAACTTACAAGGGATGTAAAGGACCTCTTCAAGGAGAACTACAAACCACTGCTCAGTGAAATCAAAGACGACACAAACAAATGGCAGAACATACCATGCTCATGGATAGGAAGAATCAATATTGTGAAAATGGCCATGCTGCCCAAGGTAATTTATAGATTCAATGCCATCCCCATTAAGCTACCAATGACTTTCTTCACAGAATTGGAAAAAACTGCTTTAAAGTTCATATGGAACCAAAAAAGAGCCCGCATTGCCAAGACAATCCTAAGCCAAAAGAACAAAGCTGGAGGCATCACGCTACCTGACTTCAAACTATACTACAAGGCTATTGTAACCAAAACAGCATGGTAGTGCTACCAAAACAGATATAGACGAATGGAACAGAACAGAGCCCTCAGACATAATACCACACATCTACAGCCATCTGATCTTTGACAGACCTGACAAAAACAAGAAATGGGGAAAGGATTCCCCATTTAATAAATGGTGCTGGGAAAACTGGCTAGCCATAAGTAGAAAGCTGAAACTGGATCCTTTTCTTACTCCTTATACGAAAATTAATTCAAGATGGATCAGACACTTAAATGTTAGACCTAAAACCATAAAAACCCTAGAAGAAAACCTAGGTAATACCATTCAGCACATAGGCCTGGACAAGGACTTCATGTCTAAAACACCAAAAGCAATGGCAACAAAAGCCAAAATTTACAAATGGGATCTAATTAAACTAAAGGGCTTCTGCACAGCAAAAGAAACTATTTTCAGAGTGAACAGGCAACCTACAGAATGGGAGAAAATTTTTGCAATCTACTCATCTGACAAAGGGCTAATATCCAGAACCTACAAAGAACTCTAACAAATTTACAAGAAAAAAACAAACAACCCCATCAAAAAGTGGGCAAAGGATATGAACAGACACTTCTCAAAAGACATTCATACAGCCAACAGACACATGAAAAAATGCTCATCATCACTGGCCATCAGAGAAATGCAAATCAAAACCACAATGAGATACCATCTCACACCAGTTAGAATGGGAATCATTAAAATGTCAGGAAACAACAGGTGCTGGAGAGGATATAGAGAAACAGGAACACTTTTACACTGTTGGTGGGACTGTAAACTAGTTCAACCATTGTGGAAAACAGTGTGGCGATTCCTCAAGGATCTAGAACTAGAAATACCATTTGACCCAGCCATCCCATTACTGGGGATATACCCAAAGGATTATAAATCATGCTGCTATAAAGACACATACACACGTATGTTTATTACAGCACTATTCACAATAGCAAAGACGTGGAATCAACCCAAATGTCCATCAGTGACGGACTGGATTAAGAAAATGTGGCACATATACACCATGGAATACTACGCAGCCATAAAAAAGGATGAGCTTGTGTCCTTTGTAGGGACATGGATGCAGCTGGAAACCATGATTCTCAGCAAACTATCGCAAGAACAGAAAACCAAATACCGCATGTTCTCACTCATAGGTGGGAACTGAACAATGAGATTGCTTGGACACAGGAAGGGGAACATCACACACCAGGGCCTATTATGGGGATGGGGTAGGGGGGAGGGATAGCATTAGGAGATATACCTAATGTAAATGACGAATTAATGGGTGCAGCACACCAACATGGCACATGTATACATATCTAACAAACCTGCATGTTGTGCATATGTACCCTAGAACTTAAAGTATGAAAAAAAAACAAAAGATCCAAAGTCTTACTTTTATAGATATAGAGATTATAATAAAATTTATATGGGAAGGCAGAGGAACTATAATAGTTAAAACAATTTTGTAAAGAAGAATACAATGAAAGGCATCCATCTACCTGATTTCAAGACTTACAGTAATCTACACAACGTAGTACTGGCAGAGGAACAGATAAATGGAACAATGGACAGAACAGTGAGCCCAGAAATAGACCCACACAAATATGCTCCATTTTTGCAAAGGTGTAGGAGGAATTCAGTGGAGGAAGGATAGCCTTTTCAACCACTGGTGCCTGAGTAATTGAATATGTACAGGCAAAAAGAAAAAAAAAGACCCTTGACCTAAATGTCATACCATACACAAAAATTAACTCAAAATACATCATACACTTACATGTAAAACATTAAACTATAAACTTTTAAGAAAATAACACAGGAAAAAAATATATGGTCTCTACATCGAGACAAAGAATTCTTAGACTTGACAACAAAAACACAATTCATTGTGTGAAATATTGATAAACTGTACTTCATCATGATTAAGACCTTTTGCTCTGTGAAAGACCATTTTGGGAGTACGAGGGGATGGGCTACAGACTGGGAAAGAATATTTGCAGGCAATGTGTTTGATGAAGGATTAGTATCTAAATTACGTAAAGAACTTCAGGCTCAAAAGTCAAAAAAACAATCCAATCAGAAAATGAGCTAAAGGCACAAAAAGATTTTCAACGTCATTAGTCATTGGGGAAATGCAGATTAAAACCACAATGAAGTATCACTATACATCTGTCAGAATGGTTAAAATAAAAATGGTGATAACACCAAATCCTAAAAAGGATGCAGAGGAACTAGACCATTAATATATTGCTGGTAAAATATAAAATGATACAGTCACTCTGGAAAAGAGTTTGGTAGTTCCTTAAAAAAATAAATACCCATTTACCATGCAACCCAGCAACGACACTCATAGGCATTTATCCCAGAGAAATGAAAACCTGTAGTCACAAAAAATCTGCACAAAAACATTTATTGTAGTTTTATTCGCAGTAGCCAAAAAATAGAAAACAATCCAGATGTCCTTCAATGGATGAACAGGCAAAAAAATGGTATATCCATATCACAGAATACCATTTACGAATAAAAAATGAACTACTGATACACTTAATAACTTGGATGAATCTCCAGAGAATTAAACCGAGTGAAAAAGCTAAGGCAAAAAGGTTACATATTGTAAAATTCATATATAGCTTTCTTTAAATCACAAAAATTATAGAATTAGGGATTAAGGAGTGAAGGAAAGGGAAACGCAGTAGGGGAGACAAGTGTTTGTGCCTAAAAAGAACAACATAAGGGATCTTTTTGGAGAGCAAATTTTCTGTATCTTGACTACATCAATGCCAGTATCTTGGCTGTGATATTATACTGTAGTTTTGCAAGATGTTGCCATTGAAAGATAAAAAATACACATGATGTCTCTGTATTATTTCTTACAACTGAATGTATATAATTATCTGAAATTGAATATATAATTACCCAAAAATAAAGAGCTTAATATTAAAAATAAACCCTCAAAAACAAAACTCTATAAAATAGCTGTACAATTATCCAACAGTACAAAATATCTAGCCGGGCACAGTGGCTCATGCCTGTAATCCCAGCACTTTGGGAGGCCAAGGCTGGCAGATCACTTGAGGTCAGGAGTTTGAGACAAGCCTGGACAACATGGTGAAACCCCATCTCTACTGAAAATACAAAAATTAGCTGGGTGTGGTGGCATGTGCCCATAATCCCAGCTACTCGGGATGCTGAGACACGAGAATCGCTTGAACCCAGGAGGCAGAGGTTGCAGTAAGCCGAGATTGCACCACTGCCCTCCAGCCTGGGCAACCGAGTGAGATACTGTCTCAAAAAATAAAATAAATAAATAAATAATTATTTAACTTAATGGAAATCTGCATGTTTAACTTCTCTAAAGACAAGATGACATACTACTACATGAAATTTAGAGATTTTCTGAAATAGACTTCTTAAACGCATTAACCCAATCAAAAGTAGATGTTTGGCTGGGCACAGTGGCTCACGCCTGTAATCCTACCACTTTGGGAGGTCGAGGCATGCGGATGGCTTGAGCTCAGGAGTCTGAGACCAGCCTGGGCAACATGGTGAAAACCCGTCTCTACAAAAAATTAAAAAAAAAAAAAAAAAAAGTAGATGTTCAATGCACACTGCTAAAATAACAATAAAATACAAGTTTAAAAAATACTTAAAAAACAGAATATTATGCCAATAAGATTAGCTGAGCATTTACTTTTGTATCCTTTTTTCTATGACAGGCCTTACTGCACTGATCCAATCATCTTGATTGCATGCACCTAGAAAGAAATTTTAAAACAGTTAACACAAATAAAAATAAGAACAATCAACTTTAACATGCAAAAGTTTGGCCCCAAATATTTTTCTACAAATACTTTAACAAATTTAGAGCAGTAAAACTCTTCTTAGTATAATTATGTTGTTTCAATTCCATAAATAAATTTTTATAACAGACATAGAAAAGTAAGCATTTTTAAATATAGAGGCAGCATGTAAATCTGCATTAGATAAACTATTGATTGGTTCCACGCATGTGGAACGGCAAAAAGTACAAACAAAATGAACCCATGTTAATTTTTTTAAAATCTAAAACAGTTTTAAAATCGAACAGTTTTATGAATAGCCTGTAACATTAGATTCAACTAAAACAAGTTGTGTTGGACTTCAAACCTAATATTAAAAAAAGAAAAACAAAATTTAATGAAGTCAAAATAAGGAGTTAAAATTATTTTGTGAACCTATTATTTCAGTAATCTTTCAGAGCCACAGATTGTACCCTCAACCTTGATAAGTGTTTATCATTTTTTGCTCAGCATTAGAGATGGGGTGGGATCAGAACAAATCTATGCTTTGGCACAAAGGATAACACATTCATGCACTATTTAAATAGAGAACTTTTAAGAAAAATATTTTCTTGATTGCAAAACAATAAATTATACACTTCCAAATGAAAATACTTCAATACAGATGACAAGAAATGTTTGCTATCCTTTATGAATGGGTTAAAAATGACAAGAATAACTATTTAAGTTCACTAAGGGTAGTTTTTAAATGCTAAATGGAAAATAAAATATAAATTATGTAACCTATAGGTTAAAAACTAATTTTACTTGGGAAAAACTCAAAGGCCTCAAATGAACTATGGTAGTCAACATGTCCTTCCTGTATATTAATATAACATACTGAAGAGCTTAAGGCCTTCATTATTTTATGTTGCCTCATAGTCACTTTTACCTTGAAAATTTAAGCAGCACTGTGACTAAAATGAGGGTGAATACCCAACAGATTTTCCTCTGTCAAAAGTGAAACATCAGGAACAGGAACTGCATTACCTAAATCAATCGGTCCTTCTCTTAATCCATCTAATTCATACAGTCTTCCATTAACAGGAACATAACTGACAAAATGAAAAGCATCTTCTTCTTTTGCTGATGTCTTCGTATCAAATTCAAACATTTGCTGTCTATAGTAGATAAAAAAATAGTGAGACTCAAAGAAGCAAAGAAAGAAACAGTATTTATTTAACATAAAGTCTCTTTACCTGGCGAAACTGTTGTGTACTTGTCGAATCACATCTGAATTGCTCAGTGCCAAGCCTTTCATCTAAAATAATTTTTTAAAGTAGCCTATTAATACACAAACTTTCACAAATATGACATTTTAGGAATAAGAAGGTTGTACTCACAGCTGCATCAAAACTTTGTGAAAATTCTTTAAACTCTGATAATGTCTCGCCTAAATGGACATCCTGGTGGGTACAGTTCAGTAACACACTCACTATGGCTTGAGTAGCACAAGCATTATTAATTACCTAGAAAATATAAAAGTGAAGATATCAATGTGTTTAAAAAAAATAAAAAATGGTTTTTAACCGGTGACAATGATCCCAAAACATGAACAGTTTTCAAATTATATTTTATAAAGTCTCAGCATAAACAGAATAAATATGTTTAATGTCTATCTTAATCTATTTTCAGAAATTTGCTGCAATTCTGGAGTTGAAGATTCTAGGAAACCAAATGAACTCAATGAACTCATTACCAAAACCCAATCCCGTTAGGGTAACAAAACCAATCATCCTGATCGAAAACATAGCTGATTAAGCCAACAGAGCTTGTCCTCCTCTCCTATTCATTTCCTCCTAGACTCATTTCTACCTATTCAAATTCAATTCGTATTTTACTACTGAGCATAAGCTTCAAGTCACCTATGTGATTTTAAAGAAATTCTGAAACAACTCACATTAGTTTCTACCCTCATTTGAATTCCCAAACAGGGTATATAATGTCCACATATTTTTTTCACTCAATCATGTACAGTCTTTACATTGCTATCATCTAGCTGTTAATTGTTCATTTAACAAATTATCTGGACCTTACATTCTAGCCAAAGGAAAAAACATTTAGATAGCATTTACTATGTGCCAGTTACTTTTCTAGGCACTTCACATGTATTATTTCTTTTAATCCTCTCAACGACTTATGAAGAAGGAGTAATATTATCATCTTCATTTTAAATTTGTAGAAGCTGAGGCACAGAAGTTAAGTGCCCAGGGGCACACAGCCAATCTGGTTCTAGAATTTGTGTACGTAGCCATCATGCTACGCTGCCTCTGCACATACATGTGGTCTCTCCAACAAGATTATAAACCACTTTATGAACAGCAGTTTCTTCCACACTGCCTAAGCACCTACAGTACTGATCATGAAGCTGGAAAGACCCTCAGATGATCAGTGTGAACACCAGCAAGGTTAATCATAGAGCTGAATAATTTTTTAAATTACAGCTTAGTCCTACTACAGTATTATGCTACTATATTGTAATTAGTCTTTCCAATAATGCTAATTAGCTTATGATTTTACATTTTAGTAAATTATCTATTTTTATCCTGCCTGATTTCAGAAGAAAAAAATTCAGTTATTTTCCTTCTTTAATTCTTATAGTTCTCTATTTCTCATGTTGGTAGAGGTTTTTAAGGTCTTATGACTATCTACCAGTTCCTGAACTGCTGACTGAAGTATATTTGAGAAATTCCTTGATAAGACTGCACTCTCCATTACAGAACAGTCTCGTACTCCTACTTCTCAATAACTATAATAACATCACCATGCTTCTATAATTCTTCTCTTTAAGTATTTTGTATTCAAAACTGTCTTAAAATTGATAAATTAGGAAAAAGTAGTAATAGATCCAGAATCCAATTAACATTGCTGCTGACTTAAACGAGTAAATATTTTGACCTGAATCACAGTTTTTTAGTAAATTTGGATGAAAACTTTAATGATGAAAGAGGACTTCATAAATGTGGTTAACTAAAACACTGTAACACTTAGTACTCCCTTATCTTAGGTCAAAATTATCTAAGATGAAATTATCTGAGGATAGCAGAGTGGGAGGAGTAAAGTTAGAAGTTACAATTTATACTTATTAACACATTCTTTCAAAATCAAGACACCTTAAAGATATATAATATATGCCCAATGCTAAACTAGGCAGTGAGGCTACAGCAAAAAAATATTATCAAACATTTCTATAATCTAAGGACTTCGAATCTGTAATCCATTATTTTAGGATTTTAAGAAGTAGAAAAAATTCTTGTGGTTACTAGGTTTTTTGATGTCAATAATAATTTACACTGTCCATGATATATTAAAGCTCATTTTGTATGTGTGTGTGAGAAGAAAAGTTACAATGTACAAGGGTATGAGAATATTGTCTTCAAGTTTTAAAATGAGTTTAGTGCCATCAAGTGGTTATGCTATACATAGTACAAAATTAATAAAAAACAGAAAAAAAATTTTAAAGTGCATAGCCATTCATTCATTCGTTCAAATAATACTTACTGAGCAACTACTATGTGCCGGACATTGTAATAAATGCTGAATAGTGAATAAGAAAGATGTGGTCCTTGTCCTCATAAATCTCACATAAAAATAATCTTATATATAGTCAAATAAAGTTCTATTTGAAAGAACTTTAACTCATGTCACAAAAAATCTATTGCAGTATGAACTATTTAGGTAGTTCTCAACTTTAAAAATCTTTAGCTTATCCTAAGTGTCCTACTTTAACTCTCGCTTTTAAGATATTTTAAAATAAAGCAGTAGAGTTCAATAGAAATGAGGCTAGAGCACAGGGTCTCAAGGAGGACTGACCCAGAACCTTAAGAGTTTGGTTTGCATTCCTTTGCCAGGATATATAGTCTTTAGTTAATCAGGACACTTCTACTCCCTATTTCTTACACACAATCCAATTCACACATTCATGATGACAACCTGATACTGAAGGCATTTGATTTTGTAATCCCCAGACTAGAGAATAATTTCTTTTCAAAGCTTATACAAAAGAAGAGTAGATGTCTGGAGGGATAATACAAAAATAGCTTAAAGTACTCCCTATATAGATTATAGTCAATCAAAAAACAAGCAAGGAGAAAGGATTCCCTATTTAATAAATTATGTTGGGAAAGCTGGCTAGCCATATGCAGAAAACTGAAACTGGACCCCTTCCTTACACCATATACAAAAATTAACTCAAGACGGATTAAAATTTTAAGAGCAAGACCTAAAACCATAAAAACCCTAGAAGAAAACCTAGGCAATACCATTCAGGACATAGGCATGGGCAGACTTCATGACTAAAACACCAAAAGGAATTGCAGCAAAAAACAAAATTGACAAATGGGGATCCAACTAAACTGAAGAGCTTCTGCATAGCAAAAGAAACTATCATTGGAGTGAACGGGCAACCTACAGAATGGAAGAAAATTTTTGCAATCTATCCATCTGAAAAAGGGCTAATATCCAGAATATACAAGGAACTTAAACAAATGTAGAAGAAAAAAACAACCCCATCAGAAAGTGGACGAAGTATATGAACAGACACTTTTCAAAAGAAGACATTTATGTGGCCAACAAACATATGAAAGAAAGCTCATCATCACTGGTCATTAGAGACATGCAAATCAAAACCACAATGAGATACCATCTCACGCCAGTTAGAATGGTGATCATTTAAAAAGTCAGGAAACAACAGATACTGCAGAGGATGTGGAGAAATAGGAAAGCTTTTACATTGTTGGTGGGAGTGTAAATTACTTCAACCATTGTGGAAGACAGTGTGGCAATTCCTCAAGGATCTGGAACTAGAAATACCATTTGACTCACCAATCCCATTACTGGGTATATACCCAAAGCATTACAAATCATTACTATAAAGACACATGCACACATATGTTTACTGCAGCACTATTCACAATAGCAAAGACTTGGAACCAACCCAAATGTCCATCAATGTTAGACCACTTAAATACCATGGACTACTATGCAGCCATAAAAAAGGATGAGTTCATGTCCTTTGTGGGGACCTGGAGGAAGCTGGAAACCATCATTCTCAGTAAACTAACACAGGAATTCTCACTAAACTAACACAGGAATAGAAAACCAAACACTGCATGTTCTCACTCGTAAGAGGGAGTTGAACACTGAGAACCACTGAGTGCGAACCACTCAGTAAGAACATTGAGGAATAGAAAACCAAACACCGCATGTTCTCACTCGTAAGTAGGAGTTGAACAATGAGAACATATGGGCACAGGGAGGCGGGTGGGGGGCTAGGGGAGGGATAGCATTAGGAGAAATACCTAATGAAGATGATGGGTTGATGAGTGCAGTAAACCACCATGGCACATGTATACCTGTGTAACAAACCTGCACATTCTGCACATGTATCCCAGAACTTAAAGTATACAAAATATATATATTAAGTTAAACACAAAAAAATTATTGTCAATCTTCATTGAGTCATAGCTACTGCAATATAAATTCATAAATTTTTAATTTTTTTAATAGTCAAGGAAAAAGTTTGAGATTGTAACAGTAGCTTTCCCACAAGAAAGTGATACTGAAAAAAAATATAAATGTTTTGCTCATGAAGACTCTATAAAGAAAGATACACAGAAAAAAGGGATGAACACCAGAAAAATAAAATAGTAAAGGAAAAAATCATTTTATACTGGAGTATCAGAGAACGTTTTTTTACAAATGTGAAATTTTAATAGGGGTTTGAAAGCTTGGTAGGAGCCAGAGAATAGAGAAGTAAATTCATTTTAAAAAGTGAGAACAGTTTGAACAAAAGAACAAATTAAGATGTCTGATGTGCTTGTTCAAGAGACAATGAGCACATTGGTCATTTGTACTAGTGTGGTTAGAGTCACAGTGGGGGTTATTCTTTACCTTGTTAAGTCACTGGCCTTGAGGAATTAGGAGTTTACCCAAAGAGTAAGACATTTTGAATACAGAAATAAAATAATCAAAACAGTGGTTCAGAAAGATTCAGTTTAAGTCAATTTACAGGAAGGACTGAAGGTGGCAAAAAGGAGAAACAAGATTAGCCAGGTTCCTACCCTAATAAAAGTATGAAATAATAAAGAGTGGTAGGCTAATATAATACATAAAACCACTATCACACAAACATGCAAGTGAGAAATCTAGGAATCAGAAATATAACTGAAAATAAAATAAGATTAAAAACAAAAGACTATTAATAACCACCATATGAAATGATTTTGAAAATTTAAGCTGAAATGAAGAAATCTTTTTAAAAAATACATCTTACCAGAACAAACTCAAGAAGAAATAAAGAACCACAATAGTCCCTTACCTATTGAACTGAAGCAGTATTTTAAAACATTCTCACAAAGAAAATACCAGGCCTACATGGATATACAGGTCAATTCTACAAAAATTTTGAAGAAATATATCACCTTAATTTTATACGAATTCTTCAAGACAATAAAAATAAGAGAAAATT